TATTTTCGAGCAGCTCACTTGGGTCTGATAAGTTCAGAGTTTATTGGCATGTGTACCGTTAAACACAACATTTTTTCCATTCCACTTCGTTTGGCGATCGGGGCGGTATGAGCCAGGATAATATCACAGATTGTCTGCACCTCTCGCTAATTATAGGGCGGTGGCGTTTTGTAAGCTGATTTGGCAAAATCAATGACTTGTAGCTAACCATTTACGCTTCCTCAATGACTAGAAGTTTTGATAACATGATAATATGAATTTGGATCCAAACATATGCATGCATTAGAACTGAAGTAGAAAATGTACAGATTTTTAGAAATAATCGATGATTTTGATTTCAAATAGACATTTAACGAATGAATTCGAATATTTAAACACATGCCTTGTCATAAAATTTGGAATGTTTTTGCGGCGTATGATTTGGGTTCGAGAAGTTTTTATATTTCAGTAATTTTTTTTTCGTTTAAATTTTCCTAGTTAATTTTCACATTTAGTTCATTTTTTTTAGTTCATACCTTTCCAACGCATTTTAATGTATAGTATAACTGCACCCAAAGTCTTTCGAAATAACTTTAGTTAGTCTACAAAAAAATATGTCATTATGCATGAGAACTCACTTCTCAGTTACAGGTACAGCGGACGGTAACAAAGATGGTGCAACGTTTTACGAGCAAATGCGTTACAACGATCGGTGGTATCAGTTGGGGAATTTTGTCTATGTGTATAACCCACTCATAAATCGCACCGTGATACTCCGGATTGATAAATTGTGGAAAACTTCCGAGTAAGAAGTCGATTTCCTGATTTTACATTTCCTGTTTCATGCATTTGCCGCTTTTGCAGGGATTCGAAAAGTACTGTTGAACTGACCAAATTTTTGCAGTGGTGATGGTTTTTTCTCGGGTCCGTATTTTGCCCGTCCGGAAGAAATAAAGCACGAGCCGGCGCGGATGTTCTATAAGCAGGAAGTGTATGCGGTGGAGCAACCGGATGTAAACGTACCGCTGGAAAATGTACAAGGATTCTGCTCAGTTATGCACATTAAAGAATATACCAAGGGTGTGTAAATAATTGATAATTTTTCTGTACAACATTTCAACTTTCCTGACCCATAACTTACTGAATGGAGAAAAGAGGTGGAACGAATCTTGAACTGCTTAAAGTGATTTTGTTTCTTTTCGTAACGCAGGCTGTTGCGGTATGGTTCGGTAGGGTCTTCGGGATATCCAGTTTACATGCATTTTTTCTTGTTATATGAAATTTGCGGTAAGGCTGGTACTGCTCACCCTTCTCACATTCTGATTTCTTCACCCAGCTTTTGTTCGTTTTATTCTTGTTATCAATATTTCACAACAATGCTGACGTTTTTTCTTCGCAGTTCGTAACTTCCCAAACGATCAGATACCCTCAAAATTAATTTTTCTGTTTTTGATATCTCATACTTCTGCTGCCAAAAACCTTATGGATTTTTGGAAAATCATAAATCACAGTAATCCATGCTAAACTTTCGCCAACTCTTTACTGATGGGAAAGTTTTATCTTCCAGTAATGGGATATGTTCTATGCTAAATCATGATTTTCGCCTTCCAATTAGTCTGATAAGTGGATTTAACATTTCTGGATTCGGCTTTAGTGAATTCACATTTGTGTCTCTGGGCAGCTCCATCCATTACATTCTTCCTTTTTTGTGCTGTCCCTGCAAGCAGTAGCCGCGAGAGCTATTTCAACATGAGTTACGTATGCATCTTATTTCTTGCTAAATTCAGTGGGAGATATTCAAATCATACAGTGATGGATGCTGTGTTTAAGCAGTTTTAGACCGTCGTGTTGTTTTTAGGGCGACCGACCGAAATTGATGAATGCGACGTGTATGTGGTGGAAAGAAAAGTGTGGGGCCGTGAAACCGGAAACAATAAGTGCACAATAACTGGTTCCAAAACGATAACACTGTCCAGACAGACCACTGCTGCAAGCGACAGGAAGTCATCGGCAGCAGTGGATGCTGTTGCAACCGAACAGATAACATCACACGATGGCTCAGAGCCGACAGGGACAACAAGTACCGATGACGTTCATTCGAATATTCCATGTACCTCGAAGGATGTATCGGAGCAGCAGCAGCAAGTGGAAACACGTACCGGACAAGCATCGGTTGCTTCACAGGATGATGATACTGCATCCACAACCGACACACATGTGCGCGAAAATGATGTGGAACCGATGAATGATGCATTTTCCAAGAAACTTAAGCTTAAACTGAAGGTATGTGTTATTAATGAATTATATTCACTCACCTCGTTAGTTATCTCTTTCCGCCTCCTCTTGTTGCTGAACCCCTCTGTATTTGTTTCGCCATTTGAAGGCCTAAAGATCTGGTCCTTCTACTAAACTGCTTTTGCTTTTTCGCTTAATTGTAGTGCATGAAACTTCAGTACGGTGACAAGGGAGGGGAGGGAGGGGGCAAGGAAAGCCGAGTTGCAGCATGTGCGCAGTCGAAATGACGCCCCATTTTTTATG